ATCTTCTCCTGTTAACGTGAAGACTGATCTGAGGTGATATCTGTGCTGTATTTTCTACCTCGCTCTTCTTTGTCCTCCCCCTCTCGTCTTGAGAGAGATTCTTGTTTCCTCCCCGGGTGTCCTCCTTCCGTCACTCTAATCAGCCCTTTTAATTACTCTCACTATCAGCCACCCAACGCCTCCCTGTCACCCCTGGGAGTCTCTGAGAAATGGAAAGGGAAGGGAATGCAGAGGCTGATGGCAGGCAAGGGGCTCATCAGCGAGGCTACGGGGAGACCGGGAGGGCCTGATGACAAAAAAAACAAAAACCCGTAATTGAGGGCATTATGGCGCATGCATCAAAGTGACACTGCCAGCTCGCACTCCCATGCCTGACTGGGGCAGCTGAATGTTGTAGAATAAATGAGGCTTATTCCTGATGGGAGTCCGCAAATCCAGCACTGTCACATCATAACAGTACGAACAAGAAGAAGCCCAAAGGAACAGAGGCTAAGAGATTGCTCAAGGAGATTTGCTCTGCCAGAGGTAGGAAAGGGGGGGGGCGGCCGCACAGCCAGAGAACAACAAAAGGACCCAGAGCCAAGACAGGGGGGAACAAAAACCCGAAACAAAACAAAAAGCAAGCACCAAAAAGAAAAAAACGAAGACAGAAGGGGTCGCCAAGTTTATTTATGAAGTGCTTCGAGTTCTTCCACTTTTGATGCCCCTCTTAAATGTATCATCTGTAAGATTTCCGTACTGGTTAATATGGCGGCACTGCGGTTACTGGTGGTAACGGCAAGGACATTTTGATAAGTCACATCCCAGACTCTTGTGACATGATGGAAATATTGCCCAGATGGAAACAAACATGCACAACTGGTGAATCTGTTTACAGTACAGCCAAACAGACTGCGTGATAAGATAATTTGATTTTTAAAAAAAAAAAAAAAAAAAAAAAAAGACATTCCTGCAACTCGAGTCGCACCATTAACATATGTTTTATTCTGAGGCTTTCAACCATACACGCTATAGCCGTCTTTTGGGGCCGTCTGGACCACCAACTAAGGTCCGCGGCCCAAAGCTTCATCGAGGTTTGTGAGGCTTTTCTTGATTTTAAACCTGGGGCAAGTAGGTAACTTTTTATGAAAGATAACTTTTTGTTATATTTCTGCTGAAATGTTCACTGTGTTCGTGAGCAGTAGTGGTCATTGAAACAGTAGATCTGGTGAAATGAAAAACAACCAGATCAAAGCCAGAAAAGATACTGATAAGAATGAGACGGCTTAATAATCAAGCACTCTCTGTAAGCCAGCAGGCGCCCAAATTGTCTTTCCATCTCTTTGGATAGCAGTTGACTTACACTTAGCTAGCTACGTTAGTTTGATAATCCTGCAGATGTAACTAGCTTGGCTACGGTGAGTTGTTATGTAGCCTTTGTTAGGCTACCCTAGCCTAGGATACACCAGTGTACATGCTGTCCTTGTCAACATAGCCTCAGAATTACAGTACAAATCAGGCTGGTCCAAGTACTATGATAACACGTGCATCTATGCTGATGTCGTGACTGTTCCTGATTCTGAGTTCTGAAAGGAGAAAGTTGTGCGCTAGAGGCGTCGTGACGTGCAGGCCGCTTGCTCAACCCGCTCACCTGAGGCAACAGCACGGCAAAAAAGGGCTGGGACTTACAAACCCGGGGTCAATGTACGCGTGCCTAATATAGGAACATTTTCAATTGGTTAGCCCTGGCAGAGTCGCGCTCTTACTGGCTGTGATTCAGATTGCCCTATTGACCTATAATACTGCGGAGATTAACAGGAAGTGTTGCCAGTTAACGTTACGCACAAGACGCATACACATGCGTGTAGCTGTAAAACGCGCTCTGTGGTTGAAGTCTTTCGCTTTAAAATATACGCCCCGCCCTTTTCTGCCTGATTGCCCTGTCAATTGATCGAGAGACGACAGCTGGTGGAGAAGCGCTGAGACAGCGAAAACGGGGCAGAGCAGAGAGGGATCCGACACACCAGCCAAGAGGGCCACAGGTCGGAGTAAACCCATGCCGCTAGCTGGGCAGGCAGGACTCGCATCCAACCAGACTGGTTTACTGTCACCTGACTTCTAAGCGAGGGCCAGCCACTCCCAGAGAACTGCAGCGCTAGAACGGGAGTAGCTACCAGTGTGCATAGATTTTCAAGCGCAGAGGGCCGACCTGACGCAAGGCTGCAAGCTGTTTGCAGGACTGGAAGTGAGACTCGGGTTGTTAGAACACTAGCTGCTGAAGCTAATTTCAAAATTATAGAAATACAAGCTAACATGTATCGTTTTTCAACATTTGTGTCATATTTTGATTTTACTTGTGCGTCCCCCATTCAGCGTCGCAATGTCATTCTCTTGACCCAACGATAGTTTTTTTAAACCATCTGAAAGAAAGGTTTTTAGACATGGTTGATCCGCAAGACAGCTCTCAATTTAATATCTGGAACCTCCTGTAGCGGTACAATACAGAATGCGGCTATGGCAGCACCAAGCATGTATACTCGCATGGGGGGTCTAGTAACTGTGGCTCACACATGCCTTTGACCACCTGCACGCTTTAATACATATGGTGGGGTCCGTGTCTGTTGTGACTGATACGCATACTCATTAGCACGAGCCTGACAGGTCGGGTAATGTGAGCCCTGTTGGGAGGTGTCTCGGGGCGTATATGGCGTCTCCGCTTGTCAAATAGCAGGTGCGAAGGCGGCCTTCCTGCTAGAGTGTTCCGCTGTCCGCACATGGCCGTTATCCTTGAATCAGTCCAGCGTAACATCGGCCGGCTCACGAGCTCCCCAAATCCGAATGTTTGATCCCAATGTTGACGAGAGAAGTCCTTATTACGTTCCTCA